CACATCACGTCGCATGCTTCGGCTGTGGATGTGGTGTCGTGAATGCAGCCGGCGTTATTTTGCCCGACTCCTTTTCACTGCCTTGCGACAAATGGATGCGTCGCCGCCCGAGTCATTCACTGCAGCTCCGTGTGTTGTACTGCCAGCACAATACTCTCCTGTTGTGTGTCGCCTGGCTGACAGTCAAACACCACTGCGTTGGGACATGCAAGGATGTGGACTGCCGCTCACGGTGTTGGGCACCGCTGTTTGGATGCGGCGGCCACACGAGCGGATGTATTGTGGCACAATCAAATGCGTGAAATACGCGGAATCACAGCAGCTGCAGTAATATCAGCGGTGTGGCACCACGGTATGTGTGAGAGGGTGATGCATGATGAATCACAGTGGGCGGCATGCGAGGGGAGTGCACCGCGACGGAGCGTCGCCCCGCCCTCAGCCTGCAGGGGAATGTGCACCCAGAGGAATATGTGGTCGAGGCACCACCAAACACACATGCCCTTCCGTGCACCAATAAATAGGAGCGAAGGTGCGTTCTGGTGTGTGGGAGTCCACTCACATATTTTCATTTCCACCGCAGTAAACGGTGAGGAATCAGGTGCCACAGCAACGAAAGGAAAAAACAAACATCTATTGCAGCACTTTACCAGCGAAAAGCAGGAAGAACACAAACCGAATTGTTGGCTGTGCTTCCCGCGGAACAACAATCCACGTGGTGTGTGGGGATCATTCCCTTTTTACTGTTACTTTGCTTTTGCGTTGCTGTGTGCGCTGCATCTATTCCTCTTGTGTGTGTGCGTACCCTCCGTGCGGGGTGCAGACACGACGGACCGCTCTCGCCGTATGTGCGTGCGGTGGAGCCTTGTGTGCCGCTCCTGCTTGCTTCTCCCTCCTCCATCTGTGTGTTGGTGTTGCGGCAGGGCTGTGTGTGTGTGTGCCTGCCGCCGTGGATTGGAGTGTGTGTCGTGCGTGGTGTGCGGCGTACGGTGCATGCCTGGCTGCTACCCTCTCCTCATGTGGTGTGCCCTCTGTGTGTGTCTGCCGCACCTCTCGTCTCCCTGTTGCTCTCCACGTCCCTCGCTGTGGAGATCAGCTCCACACCACTGAACGACCACACTCACGATGGTGACATGCCGTCTGCTGTGCGCCCTGTTGGTGCTCGCCCTGTGCTACTGCCCGTCCGTGTGTGCGACAACGGAAGAAGATAACCCCAGCACAAACTATGATCCACAAGAGGGTGAAGGTAGGACAAACGGTAGGCAGAAGGGAACAAGTGGGAGCCCAGACCTGACGACCAAAGAGTCAGAGGTTGAAAGTGAGGGCGGTACGCAAGACATACAAGGTCGGACCACCGATGTGATCTCCAACAGTGAAGGTGCATCAGGTGCGTCCGGTGAGCCAGGGAAAACAAGCGATGTGGATCAATCTGCAACAAACCCAAAATTGAGGGTTCCTTTGGAAAAAACGACGACCACGACAGCAACTACAACTACAACAAAAGCACCAAACAATATGAATACAGAGGCGCCAACCACGACGACTACAACTACAACCACAGAGGCACCGTCACGTCTTCGCGAAATTGACGGCAGCCTCAGCAGCTCTGCGTGGGTGTGTGCCCCGCTGGTGCTTGCCGTATCCGTTCTGGCGTACACCGCTCTGGGCTGAAGAATTGTATGCGGGCTGTGCGTGCCACCACTCAGCCACGGGGACATGTGTGCGTCTACTGTGGTCCGATGTAAATAATTAAGATAAAATAATGTTCGTGTTTTTTGCTTTATTTGCTTTCGCTGCCCTGCTGTATGCTCCATGTTGTGGCTCCCTATATCCGTCACGCTGAACGCATCGCGGACACACTCATACGCACGACACGCCCACAACTGTTTGCGTGGACGCATTTTTTTGTGTGCTGGTCCATGCGCACTGGAGCCATTTGGTGCAGCCTTTTGTTTTTTGTGTTTTTACTTGTTTTTACATTTTTGCTGCTTGTTTACTGTTTTTTCGCTTTTAATTGTTTTTGTTTTTCTTGCTGATCAATTATTGCGTGGCTGTGTGTGTTTTTTTCCTTTTTGCCCTTTTACTGATTCCAAGTGCTTTTGGGTATGTGCGCTGGGCTGCTGCCATTTGTCACTTTGCGGTGGCTGTTGCGTAGTGTAGCGGCAGTGTCTCTCCTTTTGCTTTCACTCTGCGTTGACGTGTTGTTAGTTTGTGCTGAAGGCTACACGCAAGTGACAGGAGTGATGGCGATGATGATGACCGGCCGTGTGCTGCTGGTGTGTGCCCTCTGCGTGCTGTGGTGCGTTGCCGGCGGTGTTTATGCGAGGGACGTTGACACCAACGCACTGGGTGGCTGCATGGCGTCGGGAGTGTTGGGTGAGAATGGATCCCACATGCCTGACGGATGTAATAAAACTGCGATTACGGTGCCTTTGCGGTCGGTACTGTTCATTACTGCCGTTGAAGCCTCGACTGGAACAGGTGATGCTGTTGCAACAACGAATAATTCGAATTCAAGGGAGAATTCCAACGCTGCTTCTTCTCCTGATGGTTCTGTTTCTGCTGTTGGACCTGGTCCTGGTGCTTCTGCTCCTCCTTCTGTTGGTGGTCCAGGTGCTTCTGGTTCTGGTTCTGCTGTTGGTGGACCTGCTGGTGCTTCTCCTGGTGGAGGCAGTTCTGGTGCTGTTCCAGGGGCTTCTGGAGAGGGAGATTCTGATGGCGGCGGTGGCGTTTCTCCTACTGGAGGTCAAGGCACCGGTGGTACTTCTGGTGCTCCTCCTGCTGCTCCTCCTGTTCCTTTTTCTACTGCTGGTCCTGCTGCTCCTGGTGTTGATTCTTCAGCTGGCGGCAGTGATGGTACAGCGGGGTCCTCGGGCACTAATTCATCTAACACAACAGGGGACTCTTCAACAGGAAATCAGTCGTCTGCTGCAGCGGCTAACGACACCTCGCCAGCCGAAAGACCGACAGGGACGACATCCGGCACTGGACACACACGACAAGAAGAGGAAGAAGAGGAAGATCATGTAATGCGGCAGCAAAGAGATGAAGCACAAGTCCAACAAAATCAACAGCATGAACACCCCGCGGAAAGTGGCGAAGAATCCGCGAAAGATAAAAACGCCCTTCGTACAAATGCCACCGCAAATACAGGCGACAGTGACGGCAGCACCGCGGTCTCCCACGCCACCTCCCCTCTTTTGCTTCTTCTTGTTGTTGCGTGTGCGGCTGCTGCTGCGGTGGTGGCCGCGTGAGAGTGAGTGTGAGAGAGCCGTGCACCGCCCGCACACACACTCTTCCTTCTCTCTCTGTTTGTCTGTGTCCCCTTGCATGGACTCTCGCCCTCACCTCACCCCACGAGGCACACAATAATGTGCCCATTGTATATATGCATGCACACCCATGCAGGCCCGTTGGTGCTCTCTTTTGCACGACACGCACCGCTGCCGTCCTGCCTGGCTGCATGGGCGGAGCACCGTAACTGTTTCTGTTTTGTTTCCATTGCATTGAGTGGGCGACCTCTCTCTCTCTCCCTCTGTGTGTGTGTTTTGCTTTACGGGAGCAATGAGAGTGTGTGCGCTGGTCGTCCCACGCTTCGGTTTCTTGTTTTTGTTTTTTTGTATTGTTTTACTTGTCTTGTGGTTGAGTGCATCCATTCCGCTTTTTTGATCGGCGGCTTGCTTTGACTGTGGACGCCTGAATTTTTCTTATTGTTTCCATACTGTTTTCATCCTGTTAAGGAAGTGTTAGCTACTCGTATCCTTCTAAAGCCGTCACGCTCTTTCTTCTACATACGTCATGCGTCAGTTGGTCCATGGCACCCCACAGTTGACTGCAGCGCTGCTGGTGCTGCTTGCGATGATGCCTGCGGTGTGATTGCTAGCGGATGTCTCGTTGTCACTCTGACGTATACTTGCGTCATTGGTTGTGTGGGGCGTCCGACGGCGCGTGGGCGTCTCTGGTGATAGTGAGGCACGTGCCTCCCAAACCGTATGATGCGTCGCAGGTGTACAGCGCCGTTCGTAATATCCGGTGGGTGTCTGTCCCCGTGAAGGCGTCCACAACGGTCCCGGATGACAGCGGGAGGCACTGCGGCTTCACTTGGTGTTGCACAGCGACTTTATTTGACGGGGTGTTTGATTTGCGTCTCTTGGGGCCTTAGTTGGAGAAGGTGGGAGGTTGAGGGCATTAGGACTGAATTCATTTGAGTGGCTGCGTTCCGTTGACTTTCGGCCAGTCGTGGCACTCTTTTGGGGTTTGGCGGCTCGTCTCTTTTGTTTACTTCCCACTGCAGCACGTGGACAACACTGATGTGAAGAACATTTGTTTGACCGCGTGTGAGCTGCTGCCGTGCGTGGTGCGTGGACTATTTGATTGCGTGAGGAGGTGCATGGAGTGACGAATACTTCTGTTTGGCGTGTCGCGGTGTGTCGGAATGATGTTCGGATGAAATGTGAAGGGTGTTGCTTGTGATTTGTGTGTTTTCTCTGGTGGAGCCGACATGTGTGCGGGGATTGTGGCGTTGCTGGTAGCTCCACGTCACTTTTCGGCATTCCTGGATGTGCTGAGGAATGACGGCTGGCAACCAGCGTGTTGGTGCTGCTGGCGGGAATAAGTGCATCGGGAATGGGCCATTTTCTCTTTTCCGTGCTGGAGCCGATGAGCTGGCACGAGGGCACCGGCTGCAGGCTGCCTGCCAGCACGTGTGAGCAGCGGATCCATGCACACACCGACGCTCATCGCAAGAGATTGTGCGATCACGGTGGCATTTGTGGCATGCCTTTGTGGACGTCAGCCCATCGAAGAATGTGTGAAGCAAACGGCTGACTGCGCACGAGGGAAATGAGTGCGTGCACTGTGTCGTGTTTCAGCGTCGATGGCAGAGCGGCAGGAGGCCCGTGCTGGCAACTGAGATCTTTGCGTCGCGAGGGATGTCAGTGTTGATTTTGGATCGTCGAGGGTAAAGTGATTTTGCTGCTGCCCGTGTGTGTGACCACTCCGGCAGAGGGCGGACACAAAAGGGAGGGATGCAGGCGCTGCGTGTGTGTGCAGGTGCCATGCAACAACGTCACAACAAACATGCTGCGACTCGGTGACCCTCACATCGTTGTGGTCCTCACGAACAGCCCAAGGCACGGCCCACATCTATGCACTTAGTGGACGGAGTGAGGCGTCTTTTGAGGTGCTGAAGGGAGCAGGATGTGTTGATGCAGCCACGACGTTCATGGAGCGTCACGATGGCACAGTCAGCTGTGGCTGGTGGAATATTTACTTCTCTGAGGCAACAGAGAGAGAGAGAGAGCTGCTCCTACTGCTGGCGTCGTTCCTGCCTTTTGTGGCCTCCCATGCCGATTATTGTCTGTCCGCTGATCATGGGTGGCATGCCTCCACTAGTGACGTCGTCTGCAGGCATTTCACAGCACCAGTGAAACACACATCACTTCGCATGCTTGGCTGTGGATGTGGTGTCGTGAATGCAGCCGGCGTTATTTTGCCCGACTCCTTTTCACTGCCTTGCGACAAATGGATGCGTCGCCGCCCGAGTCATTCACTGCAGCTCCGTGTGTTGTACTTCCAGCACAAGACTCTCCTGTTGTGTGTCGCCTGGCTGACAGTCAAGCACCACTGCGTTGGGACATGCAAGGATGTGGACTGCCGCTCACGGTGTTGGGCACCGCTTTTTGGATGCGGCGGCCACACGAGCGGATGTATTGTGGCACACTCAAATGCGTGAAATACGCGGAATCACAGCGGCTGCAATAATATCAGCGGTGTGGCACCACGGAATGTGTGAGAGGGTGATGCATGATGAATCACAGCGGGCGGCATGCGAGGGGAGTGCACCGCGACGGAGCGTCGCCCCGCCCTCAGCCTGCAGGGGAATGTGCACCCAGAGGAATATGGTCGAGGCACCACCAAACACACATGCCCTTCCGTGCACCAATAAATAGGAGCGAAGGTGCGTTCTGGTGTGTGGGAGTCCACTCACATATTTTCATTTCCACCGCAGTAAACGGTGAGGAATCAGGTGCCACAGCAACGAAAGGAAAAAACAAACATCTATTGCAGCACTTTACCAGCGAAAAGCAGGAAGAACACAAACCGAATTGTTGGCTGCGCTTCCCGTGGACCAACAATCCACGTGGTGTGCAGGGATCATTCCCTTTTTACTGTTACTTTGCTTTTGTGTTGCTGTGTGCGCTGCGCCTATTCCTCTTGTGTGTGTGCGTACCCTCCGTGCGGGGTGCAGACACGACGGACCGCTCTCGCCGTATGTGCGTGCGGTGGAGCCTTGTGTGCCGCTCCTGTTTGGTTCTCCCTCCTCCATCTGTGTGTTGGTGTTGCGGCAGGGCTGTGTGTGTGTGTGTGCCTGCCGCCGTGGATTGGAGTGTGTGTCGTGCGTGGTGTGCGGCGTACGGTGCATGCCTGGCTGCTGACTTCTCCTCATGTGGTGTGCCCTCTGTGTGTGTCTGCCGCACCTCTCGTCTCCCTGTTGCTCTCCGTTTCCCTCACTGTGCAGATCAGCTCCACACCACTGAACGACCACACTCACGATGATGACGTGCCGTCTGCTGTGCGCCCTGTTGGTGCTCGCCCTGTGCTACTGCCCGTCCGTGTGTGCGACAACGGTTGATGAGGATCAGGACGTTGCAGGTTCAGACACCCTTGCGCCAAAGGCAACAGTCGAGACGGAACAGGCATCAGGGACGCCTGACAATCTGAAGGGAGGAAGCCAGAAATATGCGGGTCAGACGTCCAATCCGACGAGTGATAAGGAAGAGACACTAGAATCTCACAGCGCGCCACAGACACACGATGGTGCACCCGTTACTGCGGTGGGACAAATTACAACCAATCCGGAGCAGCCACCTACTGGGGGCACTGAGTCGGCAAACAAAGCGAAAGAGAGGCCCCTTAGTTTGGAAGTGACAGTTAAAGCCGATGCGCAGCAGCCAACAAGTGCGACTGCTGCAATGAAGGTATCAGGTAGCGATGCCACTGCGTCAACCACTACAACGACTACCACAACAACCACCGCGCCAGAGGCACCAAGTAACACGGCGATTAATACAGAGGCGCCAACCACGACGACCACCCGCGCACCGTCACGTCTTCGCGAAATTGACGGCAGCCTCAGCAGCTCTGCATGGGTGTGTGCCCCGCTGCTGCTCGCCGTATCCGCGCTGGCGTACACCGCTCTGGGCTGAAGAGGTGCATGCGGGCTGTGCGTGCCAGCACTCAACCGCGGGGATTTGTGCGCGTCTACTGTGGTCCGATGTATAAAGTAAGAGCAATTATGATGATTGTGTTTTTGCTTCCTTTGCTTCCGCTGCCCTGCTGTGTGCTCCGTGCTGTGCGCCACATCCGTCACGTTGAACGCATCCCAAACATACGCATACGCACGACACACACACAACTGTTTGCGTGGACCCACTGTTGAGGATAGAGGCTTGCGCGCTGGAGCCATACTGTGCGGCTCTTTTTTGTATGTTTTTACTGTTTTACTTTATTGCTACCTGTTTACTTTTGTTTTTCCTTGTTTTCTGTGCTTTTCTTTACTTGCAGCGCATTGTGTCTTTTTTCACTTTCATTGGTTCAATATTTCTCATGAAATGCGTGCTGCTGCTGCTGCTGTATTTTACTGTGCCGTGTCTTTTGTTGCTTTCACTCTGCGTTGACGGGGGTTAGTTTGTGCTGAAGGCCGCACGCAAGTGACAGGAGTGATGGCGATGATGATGGCTGGCCGTGTGCTGCTGGTGTGTGCCCTCTGCGTGCTGTGGTGCGTTGCCGGCGGTGTTTATGCGAGGGACGTTGACACCAACGCACTGGGTGGCTGCATGGCGTCGGGAGTGTTGGGTGAGAATGGATCCCACATGCCTGACGGATGTAATAAAACTGCGATTACGGTGCCCTTGCGGTCAGTACTGCCCATTACTGCCGTTGAAGCCTCGACTGGCGAAAGTGATGCTGTTGCAACAAAGAACAATTCGCATTCAAGGGAGAATTCCAACACTGGTGGCACTGGTTCTGCTGCTGGTGGACCTGGTGGTTCTGATGCTTCTGCTCCTCCTTCTGGTCCTGCTGGTGTCGGGGCTTCTGGTTCTGGCTCTGCTGGTGGTGCTGGCGCTGCCGGGGCTCCTGCTGCTGCTGGTGGTGGAAGCAGTGAATCTTCCACTGGCGGTCATGGCACCGGTGACGTTTCTTCTGGTTCATATGCTTCTCCTTCTGCTCTTCCTCCTTCAGGTCCTCCTGCTCCTGCTGTTCCTCCTGCTCCTGATGCTACCGTTGTTGATACTTCAGCTGGCAGCAGTGGTGGTACAGCGGGGTCCTCAGGCAGTAATTCATATAACACAACAGGGGACTCTTCAACAGGAGATCAGTCTTCTGCTGCAGAGGCTAACGACTCCTCGCCACCCGAAGGAACGGCAGGAACGACATCCGGCACTGGACACAAAGGACAAGAAAAAGAAGAGGAAGAGGAAAATGAACAGCAGCAAAGTGATGAAGCACAAGTCCAACAACACCAACAGCATGAACACCCCGCGGAAAATGGCGAAGAATCCGCGAAAGATAAAAACGCCCTTCGTACAAATGCCACCGCAAATACAGGCGACAGTGACGGCAGCACCGCGGTCTCCCACGCCACCTCCCCTCTTTTGCCTCTTCTTCTTCTTGTTGCGTGTGCGGCTGCTGCTGCGGTGGTGGCCGCGTGAGAGTGAGGGAGAGAGAGCCGTGCACCGCCCGCACACACACGCGTCCTTCTCTCTCTGTGTGTGTCCCCTTGCATGGACTCTCGCCCTCACCTCACCCCACGAGGCACACAATAATGTGCCCATTGTATATATGCATGCACACCCATGCAGGCCCGTTGGTGCTCTCTTTTGCACGACACGCACCGCTGCCGTCCTGCCTGGCTGCATGGGCGGAGCACCGTAACTGTTTCTGTTTTGTTTTCATTGCATTGAGTGGGCGACCTCTCTCTCTCTCCCTCTGTGTGTGTTTTGCTTTACGGGAGCAATGAGAGTGTGTGTGCGCTGGTCGTCCCACGCTTCGGCTTTTTGTTTTGTTTTTTTGTAAGTTCAATTTTTTTTTCTGTTTGCTTTAAATTTTTTGCCAGTCTTTTTTTGTTATTAATTCGTCCGTTTTTTTTTAATTACTGACCCCCTCATCTTTCTTTTTGCTTTTGGGGCAATCGCTATGGACGTTTTTCTTTTCTACTCTTCCCTCTTTTAATTGTTTGTTGCTGCACTCTTCCTGCGAGGGGTGCCGTGTGTTCCCGCCCAACTGCTCCACTCGCACACCCACCGACACGCTCATGACGACGGCCCTGTGCGCCTCGCCTGCTGCACGCATGAGGAGGGGCCGCGACGAACGGCGCGCTGAGGGAGCCGAGACGTGTGGGCGTGCGACGAGGGCCTGTGGGGCGGAGCACACATTTCTTTCCCTCTTGTTTTGTTTTGTTTTGTTTGCGGCCAGGGCTGGCAGACACCCGCAGCGCCACACACACAGCCACACCCTGCCGCCGTGTTTTTTTTTGTTTCATTTGTTTTTTTTTTGTGGACGGATGTGTGTGCTGCCACCGTGCGGTGATGGAGGGTGGGGAGCTGTGCTGGCCGTATTGCCGTCCAGCTGCGCATTTTCACTGTTTCTTTATTTAATGGGTGTCTGCTAAATACCGTCTTGAGTGACGTGTTTCCCCCTTTTGTTTTTGCCCACACGCGGTGCCGGCTCCGCGGCTGTGCGTCCCATGGATTGCACGAAACGATGATTGAAAAAACGGGCCGGATGCCGCGCGAAATGTGAGGGATGTTGTGTGGGCTGGTGGAACAGTACGATCTTTTCTTTGACTTCTTTTTCTTGTTGCAGGCAATATGCATACACAAACACATGACTGTATGTTACTCCTTGGAACATGAAATGAACTTCTTTCCGAATCAATTTTATGCTTTTTTTCATATTTTTGGGAGTTCTTCTGGACTCTCACTCTTTTTTCTTTTGTTTTTGGTAAATCGCTGCGGTTCGTTTTTTTTCCTTTGTGTTTTCACTGGTGCTGAGTGCTTACGTGTCCCGTTGATTGTCCCTCTGGCAGCCGTGCTGTTGTCATGCCCTCATTTTTCTTCTTATGCTAGAGGCACCGATGGTCCGCGACGACGATTGTTTCTGTTCCCCTTTGCGATGGCAGGAGGGTGACTGGCGCCGGCCTGCTGAGTGTACTCGGAGGGAGCGGATGGTGTGCGTCATGCCTCACTGTGTGTGCGGGGCGCCACCCGCCACGGCCTGCTGTGGGGCGTAATTCCAATTTGTCGGGGAAGAGAGAAGTAAGGGACGGTGCCGTGGACCTGTATGCGCTCCGTCCCTCTCTTTGCCGCCGTGGGTGTGCCGTGCGCATGGCTCCTTCTTGCGGTGCGACGTGGATGACGGTGCTTCTGCGTGCGTTGTGCGGCGGGCTTTTCTTCTCCATTTCTTTGCCCTTTTGTGTGTGGGAAAGTTGTGGGAGAGGATATGTGTGAGGGAGTGAGTGTGGGTGGCTGCCAGCCTCGCCCCGCGCATTGAGGACTTCGATACACGTGGCTTTGCTTGACGGCGTTTCGCGGCACCCAAAGTGTGGCGAGGAGGAGGATGGGGAAGATCTGTTGTGGGCAGAAGGAGGATGGACAGGACAGTCCCCTTCCGTGTCATTTCCCGTGTCGTTGGCAGTACATACTGAGAGCGTAAATGTGAGCGATCGCGGGATGAAGGGTTTATGCCGCTTTGTGTGTGCTACTCAGTCGTCGTCATTGCAGGCTGTCGCCACGGTGCGTTGTGGTGCGGTGCCGTTTGATGAGGGAAGGGCGCGATGCCACGGCTGCTGTGCACCACGACCATTTATTGCCTCTGCACCGTCATTTTTTTTTTCGGTTTGTGTGAATTTTTTTGCGCTTGCATAATATTTTATTTTGCTTCACGATGAATTTATTGGAGGAACTTTGGTTTTGGTGCCTGCTTCACGGCGTTTCGCCTTGTGTGTTGATTGCGATGCTTCTACGTGGTGCTGAAGCGTTTGGTGGGGTGTTTATTCTTCTTTTTGCGCCCTGCAGCTAATCTTGTTTGGCCATGGCGGGAGCAGTGGAGCTCTGCGACTGCGTGCTTGCCGTGCGTGTCTCATCTTTTGCCGTTGCTCCCTCGTTGTGTTGGTGAGGGAGGAGACGAGCGACTGCGTCGGTGGAGTTGCGCCCCGGTGGAGAGGGAAGGCACCGACCGCTGCTGACGGCGACGGTCTTTGCTGCAAGCGACCTGACGGGAAGACGTCACCGGTGTCACAGTTAGCCGAGATGGATGAGGGCCGCACTGCGTCTCCCACCCCTTTCATCATCCCCTCAATCCACTGCAGTCACACGCCACACGCACCGCACGGCAACGGCGGGACCACCATCCGGATGTCTGTGAGCCACTCGGAATGTGCAATCGGCGGGAACCATTTTCCCCGTGTTTGAGTGCTGCCGCCGTGCCTCTTTATTTTTTCTTTCTTGTGTATGCCGTGCGCGCATGGTGCCGCTGCTTGCTGCGCAATGCCGACTCGCGTGAACTAGAAACGACGCTTTGACTGCTGGCAACCGGCGAGCTCTCCGCTTTAATTACGCACCACCACCAACACCTTTTGGACGCGCTTGATGGCTGGCGGTCGTATCGCTGCCACGTGGTCTGCCTCGGCTCTTGTGTGTCGTGCACGGCATCGGGACCACCATGTGATGCAGCCATTCGGTAGCAGGAGCGGTGCCAGTGGTCATTTTGCTTTTTGCCGAGATTCCGCCACTCGGCACGGTGGCTGTGTGAGGCTGTGTGGGAAGTGGGAGGACGATGGCGTCACTGACTTGATTGCGTCTGCGCGGCTTTGTGTCGGCGACTGTACTGTGGTGGGGATTGTGTATGACCGGATGCCTCTGCTTGCCACTGTGTTTGGTTACTGTTACTGCTGCCTCTTATTCTTTTTTTTTTTTTTGAGCGTGCAGTTCGAGATACTTTGGCTTTGCCAGCACAACTATCGTTTCAAGGTGTTAGGTATTACTCGCAGTATTAGGATTGGTGGTACTGGGATATCGATCTGGCGGAATCGTGTCACTGGATTCGCCATCTGTAGGAAAGGATTTGATAGACAGGAGGAATGGTCGACGGGGCGAGAGCGACACGCCACGAGAACCCTGCTGATACGTGTCTGGGTCGGTGGATGCGGTCTGCTGTGGGTGCGTGTCCGCGCAGCCGGCAACGTGTGCGGCGCAGGGCCATTTTGGCTGTGCGTGCGGCGGTGCTTGTGGCGTTGGTGCTGGCAGCAGCAGCTGCGTGGATGCCCGCGGTGCATGCGGTGGTGTTGCGACTGCGGGGCGGCACGGTGGACAGAGCCATCACGGTTGGCCGTGCCGTGGACACGGTGCTGATGGACGGCGTGTACATCACGAACGGCGTGGCTGTGGTGTTCGACGTGCCGGCGATGCTCCCCGGCACGCTGCGCATCGAACTGAGGAACTGCGTGTGCGACGGCGGTGCGCAGATCTACGTGCGGGGCTACAGCGGCGAGCCGGCGAGTGACCGGAGCCTGGAGTTGAGCGTGAGCGGGCTGTCCGGGAGCTACTGCTCGCTTGTGTTTGTGCATAACCTGCCGGCACACACGAACGTGACGGTCCGTGACTCGACGATTGTGACGGCGGGGCCGATGCGCTACTCCCAGCTGAGCGGGCTGACGGACGCGGTGGCGTCGCCGCTTGTGCTGCACGCGACGTCGCTGCTGCAGTCGCAGCTGCGTGTGAGCAACACTGTGCTGAGGTCGTTGCAGGCGGGCGGGTCGGCGGCGTACTTTGGCGGCGGCGTGGACCTGCTGTCGAGCGCGGTGGTGCTTGACGGCGTGTTGTTGGAGGAGTCGGGCTATCCGACCGCGTCCGCGATGCATGTGGCGTCCTCGTCGCGTCTCAGTCTGCGTAACCACTCGGTGTTCTCCGTGACGAACGTGTCGGTTGTGAGCAGCGGCGGCGGTATTGTGCTTGGAGAGCGCCTCGCGGTGTTTGATTCGGTGCTGCGCTTCGTGCGCGTCGAGGGGTCTGTTGCGTCGTCGCTGGTGCGCTGCGACGGTGGGACGATCGGTGACGGCGGGTGGCTGGACCTGCACGACGTGTGGGCGGTGGGCGAGGCGTCGTCCGTGGCGTTGCTGTCGGGTGTGATGCTGAGCGGTGGTACCGTGTCGATTGTGCGCTGCGCTGCCACCGGCGCGACGCTTGTCTCCGGGCCGACGATCACGAGCGGCGTCGTGTCGGTGCAGTGCAACCGTGCCGGCGGCCGGGTGCTGCAGAGCGGCGGCGACTACCGCATGGCCGGCCTGCTCTCCGTGAGCGTGGTGCCGTGCGACGGCTGTGCGGCTGCGTTGGCGTGCTTTGATGCGCTGACGGCGTCGTTCTCCGACTGCGTGTGCAGCTGCCGTGCCGGCGGTGTGGGCGAGGCGTGTCTGCCGTTCGACGTGCCGTCTGCGAGGACCAGCGGCGGTGGCGATACTGCGGAGGATTGCGTGAGTGGCGTGACGCTGACGGAGTCGGTGACGACTGGCGGCGGGCGTGCGACGGCGTGCTTCGACTCGGTGGTGTTCAGCGGACCGATCACTGTGGCGGTGGACCTGCGCTCGATGGACGCGTTCGGTGACGCACTGAACGTGACGCTGCGCCACTGCGTGCTTGCGGGCGGCGCGCAGCTG